CCCCCCCCCCCCCCCTCCGTCTCCCCCCCTCCCCAGCATTGCTCGGATGGTTTTTCAATGGCATCGCCTGACGTCACGGCCGGCCGTGTGTAGGCAAGACCGCTTAAAGCTGATCCCCACGGAATCGCGGGAGACACACTGCACGAGCCCGTGGCCCCCTGCGCGACACACTGGGAGCGCTGCGTTAATACAGGACACGCCGATCGTCTCAGGCACGACCGAGGACACGGGGGCACGGCTGAGATGGTGCATCTCTGCACGGTTTTGGTCACCTTGCTGGCCCTGGTGGCGGAGCGCGGGGGTACGCAGCGGACGGGAGCTCGCCGCACGGACTGCCCGTCCCGCTGTCACTGCGAGGAGGACGGCATGCTTCTCCGAGTCGACTGCTCGGACTTGGGGCTCAGCGCCGTGCCGACGAACCTCAGCGTTTTCACGTCCTATCTGTAAGTCGAGCATCTGCACTTTGCGTGAGAAACGGCACATGTGTGCGCATCGAGCTCCGGCTCCTCTCTGCTTTTTTTTTTGCAGATAGTTTAAATTGCTCAACAGTGACAGATAACGGAGTCCTACTGTGCGCTGACAAGTCCGGGGAACTTTTGTAAATCACAACGCCTATGTCTCCATGTGACTTAAAGTGAGCATTTTTGCAGTATATCTTGGTTCTATAACGCTCAGCATGGTTGGACTCGGTGCAACAAAATCGGTGTTTGTTGGATGCATATTTCGTATTTTCAGTCATTCGATAGGCGTATAACTTGAATTTTACATGCTTTGAGAAGCATTTGGCGCGGCGTTTTTATATCCAGCTCCTCCCCACACTGTCATTGTCACCCCACAAAATATTGTAGCTTCATATAAGTGTTGGATCATGTTGTGGTCTATTTAAATACTATAATTTATTGGTTCCTGTCATAATAATCAGCTTCCAGAAAAACGTGCACGGATTCAAACGATGGCTACAGATAACTGCATAATATAATAAGCATACTAAAGAGTATTTGCATATGTAGAACAAAACAGCGAGTCGCTGCAATTTTTGTGCTGTTTTCCCTCATTAAAGCACTTCTAATGGAGTCGATGTTCTGCTTTCCGATACATTCCTTAATGGAGCAGCAGGAAAAATCACACTAGTGGAAACACGTGTCTAACTGGCTGTTTCCTATGTGATTTCCCCTATTATGGTAGAGGTGATCGATCCGTCTTTATATTTAGTGTCCCAAGCATGGTCCCAGGCTACTGAGGAAAGGATTTTTATTGCGAATTAAATGGACCGGGAGACTGAGCCCGGTGGAAGTGCGACTGGGCACCGCGACTCACCTAGAGAGACATGCATCTGAGCTGAGGACTGGTTATGCTGAAGTTTTTCCTTGGCAGACAGGAGGTATTTATTCACATGCATTAACCATGCATTTTCTGTACCTTTGCAATCTGGTCCAGGTAATATAGCATACCAGTCCCCATGTAACGAGTTTAGCTGTCATTTCCCCCGTCTTTTGACCTTATACAGCCGGCTGCGTTCAGCACTCAACGTGTTTGAAGACTCATTCAAAGCAGCGTGAAATTCCCGACAGCTGAAACAAAAATAAGTAAATAAGTAGAGGCGACGTGGCCAAACAAGAACATCGCGATTTGCACCCCTTTTCCAAGGTGAAATTGTGGGGGTGAGGACAGGAGTGTATGTTATTCGGCAGCTCGATCCGGCCCCTACACTTGGATGATGTCATGCACATCACTTAATCAATCCGTATGTTCCCCACTCTATTACAGGGTAGGCATAGTTTAAACAGGTCTTTCATGTGGCTACAATTTCCCGAGAAAACGAAATTATTCCGTGTTTTATTCTGCCACAGAAAAATACAGAGCTGCAATAATAAACAATGTGTCTCGGTCGTGTTGCTCGGTGCCCAATGTCGGATGTGGGAACGTGAAAAGGATGTTTTGTAATAGATGGAGCACAAGTGAACATCTGATGGTGCAGAACAAATCCTTGTTTTGCTCCTCATGCGGAGTAATAGCCTGTAGTGAGAAGAATTTCTTTATTTTATAAGCTTATTTAAAACTCCCTTCCTTATTTAATCAGATGTTGCTATGCTGTTACTGTGCATAAAGTTTTCTTTTTTTGAAATACTGTTGGAAAGGATACATTTGTATAGCAAGTGACATATCTGGTCTCTTTTGTAACTCTATGTTGTTTATATCTTTTCAAATTTCTATATATTTCTGCAAAAAAAACCCAACTTTTATTTCAGGAAAAAGACACAAGCACCAGTTATTTAAAATGTTGCCCCTTTTTTCTCGACTTGGTATAACAAAGCAACAGTATTGGTTCAATTTTCCCTGACAAAAGTGTTTACTTTTAAATTTGAATTTAAATACTATAAAAAGTTGGTTCCAGTGCAGCAGTGCAAACGCAGTGTGGTTGATTCATGCTCGCTCGGCTGTCCGTAGGGATTGTTATGTTCAGTGTGCTGCATGTTTGCTGAGTGAGCGGGCTTGCAAATGAAAACGAGGCACTGGCGCTTCTGACGGTTAAGGCCGAAAACCCCAACCCATTCCGTGGGCAAATTCGGCATGCACTTTGAATCGACTGACCCCCTCCTCCCCACTGTCCCCTTCGAGGGGAGGCCAAATTAAATTAATATGGTAATGGCTGTTTCTGACACAGTTTCCTCTGTCCCAGTGACTGACGGATTGACAGGGAAACCATAAGGGCCGCAGAGAGGAGGACTGGGGGGCCACAGCATTTACAATCCGCCTCATTATTCGCGGAACAGACGACAGAGCTGGGGGCCAGAGTGAGAG